TGTAATCACTGGTTTTCAGCATTTTATTAGTAGATCGTTTTATCACATGACCGCATAATTTTGCAAAGAGCGATAATTTTAAACACTACTATTTTCTAAAGTTATATTAATTATTTGTAGGTGTTTTGATATTGAATACTATACTTTTTGATCATGATAATTTCATTCTGTAATAGTTCCCACTCACTTAAACAAAACATTCTCATTTTGATATATAGTTGTTCTCCAGCTTTGTATATTCACATTTTTAATCATCATGCTTTAGTAATCCTTCTTAAATTATCAAATTCAGCATCTTCTATTTTGTCCATATGTATTCTTGTTACTGCAGTAGTTTTTATTCTTTTCTTCAGATGTTTATTTTCAATTTGATTTCTTAATGTATGCAATTCTTCTATATGATATTCAAATATTTCACTATTTGCTATTTTGATTATTATTTCAGTATTACCCTTTTTTTCTCCATATATGATAAATCCTATTTTATTGAGTCTAGAGGATAATAATTCCTTCATTTCATTTACTACACTATTTTCTAATCTTTTTGTCATTTTGCATTGTGCTATCCATTGTAACATTTGATTATGTATTACTATTTCTCCAAATAAATCTACTTCTCCATCTCCTTTGATTTTCTTTAGTTTTATCTTCTTTTCATTTTCTTCTAAAAGGTAGCTTTTTCATTATTGCTATCATATTCTGGGCTTTCAATATCTGTGCTCTTTTTCTTCTAAACTGTCTCCTTTAATTCTATTGTTCTGAATTTTAAATATTTCTTTCATCCAGACTTTAGTTACTTTTACTGTATCCAGGTATAATTATAGTCAATGGTTTCACATGAGATGCCTCAGCTGTGATCTGCAGCACAACATATATATATATATAATTTTTTATATTAAAATGTAAAAATAGCATATATGTATATGTAACTCAAAAATTATTTGCAATTATATTTTAAAATTTTATACTTATCTGTTATTCAAAATGAAGATTTAAGAATTGCTACTACATTACACAGGTCAAACACAAGAATAGATGCAAAAAAGGAATTCTGATTTTAGCTGATATCGAAGAAAATGTTTAGTGACATTTCATTAGTCATTTTTTTATTTTTATTTTGTTGTATTATTAATATAAATAATGAATAATTTTAGGTCTTTTGGAAAAAGGGAAATGGTAAAAAAAAATTTGAAAATATAAAAAAACATTAAAAAAAAAATCAAAATAAGTTTTTAGTATTAATAAAGGATAAAACTTCTTTATTTTTATTGGGATTTTTGTGATGTGTTCTTTTGATGATTGTTATTTCTTTTTTAGGAAAGCTTTTCATAACTGTTAACAGATTTGTAATAAAATTCCCTTTACTAAATTTTTTCATAAATCATGAAAGGTTCACAAAAATCATAATTTCCACTAAAAAGGAAATCGCCATAAGCGACATCAAGAAGTCATCATGTTACACATTTAACGTGATCGTACTGGCAATTAAATATTGATAATGATCCTCATATTAAGAATTTAGATATACATGATTATTGACTATATATAAAGTTTTCTCCGAAGTTCTATATTGCATAATAAAATGAATGTAGATAATAACCAATTTTTAACGTTTATCTTTAAGGAGAATGTCTATTAAAACAATTAATATTCATTCGGAGCAAGTTTTCCGAAACCAAAGCGTAAAAAATATAAATGACTGACGAGCAAATATTGTAACTTGTATATCCTATTCTTATAGGCAATTTAACATTGTAACAAATTATTTTTCTATCTATTTATTGTATAATCTTTAACAATATCCTAAACTTTTAAAGCCGTTAAACTTAAATAAAGTTCTATTTTTATAAACGCTTTATTCTGCCGAGTATAATTCAACAGAAATGGAAAATATGCAATACAATGAAATTCAAACAAAAATAGTAAAGAGAAAGCATTTCATCTGTACTTGAGATCTGCTAAAAGTGGAGATAGTGACGGACAGAGTAATCTTGGTCTCAGTGAATATTATGAATATGGGATTGGAACAAAAAAAGATGAAGAGAAAGAATTTCATCGGTTTATGAAATCAGCTGAAGGTGGAAATAGTAGCGGACAGAATAATCTTGGTGATTGTTATCAACAAGGGATTGGAACAACAAAAGATGAAGAAGAAGAATTTTGGTAGCACTTGAAATCAGCTGAGGGTGGACAGAATTTTTTTGGAAATTGTTATGGAAATGGGATTGGAACAACAAAAGATGAAGAGAAAGCATTTCATTGGTACTTGAAATCAGCTGAAGGAAGAAATATTACAGGACAGATTAATCTTGGTAGTTGTTATTACTGTGGAATTGGAACAACAAAAGACGAAGAGAAAGCATTTCAGTGTTACTTGAAATCAGCTGAAGGTGGAAATAGTGACGGACAGAATAATCTTGGTTGTTGTTATCAACATGGAATTGGAACAACAAAAGATGAAGAGAAAGCATTTCAATGGTACTTGAAATCAGCTGAAGGTGGAAATAGTGATGGACAGATTAATCTTGTTAGTTGTTATTATTTTGGAATTGGAACAAAAAAAGATGAAGAGAAAGCATTTCAGCGGGTTAAAAAGTCAGCTGAAGGCGGAGATATGGACGGACAGAACTTTCTTGGTTATTGTTATCGAAATGGGATTGGAACAACAAAAGATGAAGAGAAAGCACTCTGGTGGTGCTTAAAATCAGCTGAAGACGGAGATAGTGACGGACAGAATAATCTTGGTTATTGTTATCAACATGGAATTGGAACAACAAAAGACGAAGAGAAAGCATTTCAATGGTACTTGAAATCAGCTGAAGGTGGAAATAGTAGCGGACAAAATGATCTTGGCAACTGTTATCGACATGGATTTGGAACCACAAAAGATGAAGAGAAAGCATTTCATTGGTACTTGAAATCGGCCGAAGGGGGAAATATGGCAGGACAGAATAATCTTTGTTATTGTTATCAACATGGGATTGGAACAACAAAAGACAAACAGAAAGCATTTCATTGGTGCATGAAATCAGCTGAAGGTGGAAATAGTGACGGGCATAATAATCTTGGTCATTGTTATCAACTTGGAACTGGAACAGCAAAGGATAAAGTGAAAGTAATCCAGTGGTTCAAGAAATCAGCTGAAGATAAAAATAACTATAGTAATGATAGTATAGATGAAACAAATCAAGATTTGAGTAAGTTTGCAGAAAAAAAAACAGAAACTAGTGCTACTGCTGATAGAAATTATTTCAACTTTATTCAGTTCACGAAGCCCAAAATTACCATTAGTGAGTCGAATATTCGGATTGAATCATTTGATTCAAATTTCTCAAATTTCCTTTCCTTAGAATCATATCTGTATTTTGGAACTTCAGCTGCTTCACATGCTAAAGTTGAAAAGCTACTTAAATTACTTATAGACAAAAAAAATGAGCTTGATAAAGTATTTGAATCGCAACCAGCATATTTTATAGGACTTGATTTCCAAGAAAGTTCTTCTGTGCCACATATTTCTTGTTGAACTACTGAACCATTTGATGCATTAATTCTAGAAAAACTTGAAGAATTATTTGATGGTGAGTTTGAGGCTATGAGTTTTGTGGTAACTCCCCCAAACGATAAAGGCATAAATGAAGAATTAAATGAAATTGAATATTCAGCTAGTAGTGACGACAGCAATGACAGCAAAAACAATAATAACAATGACAACATCACTGTCAACAACAACATCGACAGCAGCAATAATAATCACAATAGCGATAATAATAACAATAACAATGACAATATCTATAATAATAATTATAATAACAATAATAACAATAATAACAATAATAACAATAATTATAATTATAATATTGATAATGATAACATTAATTATATTTCAGTCTCATCTGAAGTAATCGCAAAAGCAGATAAGAATTTATCAGATGCCTTCCAAGATTTTAAAATTTCGGCTTATCTCCAGGCAGAGGTTGGTTCTCTTCCTAATAAAAGAAGTAGTTTAAAATTTTCTATTGATGTAAATGGTTGTGGAATGGGACCAATGCTTAGTGACAATTGGCCATTACTTAGTAAACTAGGTTCCGGTTATTTTCTTGATTCCATTGAAATTTGGGTTTCTCCAATTGAAGATAAATCCATGCCTAACAAGCCCATATACAATGTGAAAGATGGTCCCTGGCCACAACAATTTAATAAAGATGTTGAAATTTCTAAAGTTCATGAATATAATAATAGCATTGGTGGAACAATTAGTAAAGATACTGGGATTACATTAAACCAAGGTAAAAGAAATGGACAAGAAATTAAGTCTGCAACAAAGGAATAGGAATTTACAACTTGTTATACTGGTAGAACTGGATTGGGCTGGAGATATCAATATACTGCTGAAAACCTTCACAAAAATTTTAACCGTAGATTAAATTTTGCTCCTGGAAAACATTCCTGTCACTGGGAAACCTTAGAAGCAATGAGTGGATTTCATATAATAATTAAGCAGGTGATATGTTGCAAAATTGCTGATGATTGGTGGCGAAAGTTGAAACCAAAGTCAAACTTACTGAAACTATGTCCTAAGATGTCTCATACTCTCAAAATAACTTTTAAAGTCTTAAAGATTTTAATGAAAATTTTGAAAGTCTGATGAAATCTAAAGCATCTCATGGAGATCTTATTAATGTTATTTTAGAAAAAAAAGCTCCCCGAATAGATGAACCAAAAAATTCAAACGTGGGAAATATTGACCTTGAGTTCAAAGTAATGACTCAAAAATAAAATTAGATATTTCTCTAACATCCTTTTATTCAGCTTATATTTTAATTATAAATTAATTAGCTTATATTCTATTTATCTTCTTTTATAAACTTATAATTTATTTATTTAATTTATTTATTTTCATTTATATTTGTCATATTTTATTTAATAATTGTAAATGTGAAATTGCTCATATTATTAATAATTTTATTGTAGAGAATATTCATAAAATAATTACTTATTGAAGAAGCATGAATAAAATATTTTACTTTGAATATTTTCATTTTAGGAAAAAATAATTTTCTCAAAAATGATTATGTAATAAAATTTGGGAATTGAAAGGAGCAATTTCTAAAATTAATTTTTCTTTCATTAGGTAATATAAAATTTCACAATATTTATTGAAAATTATGCATATATTTTTTAATTAAATTGGTTGTTTAATAATTATTCCAATTTAATTCATCAATTACATTGGAACAAAGATATAGTATTAGAGGTGATAATTTTACTGTAGCAAGTGTGAATAATAAAAAAAATTTTATGTTATTGTGGAAAGAAACAGAATAAAAGATTTGTTTTTTTTTGTAAAAAGAATATTATTGAAATTTAAGGTTTATATAACTCTATTATAATAGTTTATATATGTATATTTTTTTTAACCATCGGGTCCACTTAGGCACTTTATTATAATTAAAATTTTTATTACAAAATTGTGCCCTAAGTATTATAATAGTTTATATCTTTTATAGAATACGAAGTAACAATAATCGACTTAGATCAATCCTTGCCTTAGATGGCTGATTTATTTGATAAAGTTTGTTACTTATTTTCACTCAAGTTTGGATCCAGATTCTATTCGACGAATATTAATATATAATAAAATCAGTTTTTCATTTTCTTTCAATATCAAATTTACTTTGAAAGGTAAATAAATTAAAGGTAGAAATAATAAAACTAAAAAAAAAAAATCAAAAATAAATTAAAATATAAGCTTTTGATGATTCCTTGATTGAATAAAATTATGGATTGTTTGATTGTTGAAGACAATTTCACTGCCGAGTAAAATATAAATAAATAGTATTATAATCAATTTATTACCGAATAACCACGTCATATAAAATTTGCCTGATATTTACCAAATATTCGGCACTGCACTATAATAATTTTAAATAAATATTTAATAAAATAAATAAAATGAAAAATTTAACAAAAATTCTCGAGCTTTTCTTACTTTCAAAACAATGCTTGTTGTCTCATGGACCTCTTAAATTTCATGGCTAATATTCTAACGTTCGTCATTCACCATGATCATGAGTCTTTTCGAGTACCACAAATAAAGCGCCAGTTAAGGCACATTCGTATCTGATTTTTGTATTGGAGAAACGATAGAATAGATCCATGGCTATATGTTTCAACGGCAATTGATTTATCCTACAGAGAAATTAAATGAGCTTGTGAAAACAACAACATTGCGCAGAACCTGAATTAACATCTTTTAATTTCAATTGCATTCAATACTCTTCAAGGTATTTATTTACAACTTCATCTTCTTCGTTGTCAATTGACAATGGAGGCAATGTGGCTGCATCGTAGTCTTCAACATTTTCTCTGTCATTCAAATATTAGAAATTACAAAAGAAATCAAACTATGCAACTACTTATAATAATAATCTTCTTGAACTATTGTCACATCGATTTTAAAATTTTTGGTTTTTATACCAAAAATACTTATTATCTGTCCCACTACAAAAATTACCACCATTATCTTCGAAGGACCGTCCGTCCAAATGAGGACCTACAAGATCAAAATCGAGTATTATTAATTATATTTATAATTTATATAATTATACTATAGTTATACATATTCACATGCTTCATACTTCCTATTATTATTTACGAAACGAAATAACAAAATATGAAAAATATGAAGAACTTGGACGATTAAAGATATAGATTTCTAAAATCCTACATAAAATGGTTGTATAGTTTTGCAATGATCATAATTGAAAAAGAGATCCAACTAATTATTATTTTATATTAATTGCGTATGTCTCATTCTACTTTCTTTCCAATGTCTTGACATTTTGCAATTGTTAAATTATTTATTATAGATAATTCTTTAATTAATTTCAATTTTTTTTAACGATTATTGTCACCTTTATAATGAATTGTCATTTTAATTAAATTTCTTTATAAATTGTTTAGATACAACCATTTAGTATTAATCATTTGACGATGCGTAAGCTAGTACAAGGCCAATCCCAAGACATTCAGGAAAAAATGGATCAAAATTAGAAAAGGCTATTTGAATTATTGTTGAAATAACACCAAAATCAAACCCTTATCTTTGGTAATACTATCCAAGCCATCAGAGAAAAATATTCCTGATTTTATATTTATATTGATATCTAATTTACAGATATTTTTTTTTAAATTTAATTTTATATTGACTATTGGAATTTTCCTGTTTGTATTATTATTGTTGTTATTATAGTCAATTAAAATATATATAATCAATAAAGTTTAACAGGAACGAAAGATAAATTAGTGGTAGTTAGAAGTTTAATTGATAGTCTATTTATTAATTTTAATTAATTATTAAAGTAAACTATAGTGTAGTGAAGTAATAATTACACAACTGTTTTTATTTTATCTAAAATTTAAAAAATTGAGGAATCATTTTTCATTTCAATTTGAAACATTAAAATAAAACGCATAATTAATTATAATTTCAACTTGAAAAAAATAATTATCTTAAGTCTATTTTGGTCATTTCTTTCACCAGGAATAAAATATGGATGGTTGGCAAATAAAAAAAAAGAACACCATATTGGTTCTTAATGGACTAGAAGAAATTAAGATTGGCTAGAATAAATTATAAACTTTATCAGGATTACTTATAAATTTATAGCAAGAAAGAACACCTGAATTTATACCAAAATATACTAATTGAATATATTTGGTTTATGAATTCGAAAATGAATAACACTTGACTTGTTAACATTTGACATATTACATTCAGGAATTAAGGACACATTACAACCATTAAAATTTTTTACAATTAAAAAATACTAAATTTTACATGCATGATTTAAAATAAGGATTTTCCCTATATAATCTGACGAGTCAAAAAAATAAGACTTATTCCAAATAATTATTTCTCATGTAAGCTCTTTTTGTTTTTTAACAAAAGTAAATTTGATCTTATTTGGTTAAAAATATTCACATTAATTATTAATTTAAATACGTAAATATTGTAATCCCTGGTCTAATTTTTATAAATTGATTCAAAGTTTGGTTTCATTATTTGCAAATTGTCGTTTACTGGGTGAAATCTTATTTTTATTTAATATTATTGATGAGAACATCTATATTATTTTTATTATCCATAGTTTTGCACCAATAACATGACTAAAGACAGGACATTATTGTCTCAGTGATGTGATGAATAGTATTGGTATATTTTATTGTGCATCATATATTCATGTTATCATATTTTCATTTTTATTTATTTGATCGCTGGAATTATGAAGTATTTAAGCAGAAATATTCGGATTAGTAATAATTTGATCGTTTTTATCGCAGTGTGAACAGTATTTGTTAAATCCCTTATTAAGTTCATTCCGATCAGCTCCAATAATAACATTGTATTCTTCTTTATCATTAAGTTCTGAAAAGTATTGAGAAAACTTTGCTAAAACTTAGATGTCATCTTTTAGAAGTGTTGGAGTTGCAAACTTTAATAGAAATAACTAGTGAGTTTATTTTCTCTTTCTCTTTATTTTTAGTTTTTGTTTTATTAACTGACTCATTATCTGATATAAACAAGTCTTCTTCTTCTTCTCTATCTATAATTTTTATATATTTAGGTTCTGA